GCAAGAATTGAGCCTTGTGGGACTCCGCATGTCATGGACGTCCACTTAGACTTATGCTCTCCTATAGTCACATAATAACCTCTCCCTTCTAAGTATGACCTGAACCATTTAATTACCATCCCAGAAAGCCCGACCAAGTTTTCCAGTCTCTCTAGTAGTATGTTATGATCGACAGTATCAAACACAGCACTGAGATCTAGTAGTACCAGCACTGATATTTTGCCAGATTCAGAATTTAAGCGAATATCATTTATTATCTTAATGAGTGCTGTCTCTGTGCTGTGATGCGGTCGAAAACCAGATTTAAAATTGTCCAGGTATCCATTTGAGTTTAAGTATTTGTTCAGCTGATTAAAGACTACCTTTTCAATAATCTTTCCTATAAAAGGAAGATTTTTATAGGAATAGATCGAACAATGGATCGAACAATGGATTGAACAATGGATCGAACAATAGATTGAATAGAATGAACAATAGATTGAACAATAGGATGATGGATAGATGGAATGATAGAAAGAACAATAGATAGGTGAAGCTCATTTGCTTGCCTATATAAAGTAAGCATAATCAATAAGGGGTGTACTGAATTTGATCTTTTAATATCACCGTTTTAAATACATTTGAAGTGTTTTTCACCATATTTTGTCACGCTGTTTAGTGATTGAAATATTGCAGTGGGTGCATATAATATGGATTGCAAATGGCCAAAGCTTGCATTTTGTTCACATATCTGTTTTATTCTTTCGAGAGGTGATCTGAATCTTTGCAGCTTGGTAACAGATGGAAAACTGACAGGCTTGTGCAGCAGTTCTATGGATGTTTTGCCCTCCAGGACTTCGAGCCGGTCGGTGTCCTGTTGATTTGTGCTACCTCCCATTAAAACAGTGGGTAGTACAATTCGACTATGAAAAATGCTACCTGTCAAATTATGGTTTATTAACATCTACACCTACCCCCAACCCTAAACCTACCCTTACAGCAATGCAAATACAGTATTATGTGTTATTCAGGGCTATTGTGGCTAGAAGGGAGACAGCTACGGCTGGAAAACAACAATAAATACATTTTTCTAGCTATTAGATTGTGCTTTAGGACCATCTGACGGGCAGGATCAAGTCAAGTCAAGTCACCTTTATTTATTTAGCGCTTTATACAATACTGATTGTGTCAAAGCAACAAAGCAGCTGCGCTACTTTCTGAAACGCATTTAAATGATTTAAACAGCCATTCAGATTTTTGTATTCGCAGTGGTGTTCATCGCAGCACTGAATACTTAAACACTTAATAGGCTATTTATTTTCAAACTTTTTTACATTTTAATGTGGACAACAATATGCCCTAGATATTGTTTGAAAATGTTTTGATTCTTTATTGTTCGGTCGCACTTAAAATTAAGGCTCTATTAGTTAACATTGGTTAATTCCTTAATTAACAAACTGCCAAAGAACAAAATCTTCTAAACATTCATTAATCTTAGGTCATTTCAATATTTAATAACGCATTGTTAAAATCAAGTGTATTATTTAATGAACCCGAGCTAACGTGAACAGTTGTATTTTTTTAACAAAGATGAATAACTTCTGTAGTAAATGTAGCTATTGCTCATTGTGAATGTTAATGCATTAGCTAAGGTTAACTGATGAGATCTTATTGTAAAGTGTTTATAATTCTTTTGCACTTTAATCTGTGTGAAATGTTTTACTTTATAAATTTTTTCTGTATTGCTTTGTTGTATTTAAATGTTCAGTTCCTTTTGTTATAAGAAAAAAGCTGTTAAACCTGTTATACTGTATTACATTTACATTACATTTAGCAGATGCTTTTATCCAAAGTGACTTACAAATGAGGACAAAGCCATCAAAATCAACAAAAGAGCAATGATATACAAGCGCTATAACAAGTCTCAGTTAGCTTAATGTTTTTTTTAAATTATATAATAAAATGAAAACAGATAGAATGAGAATAGAGCAAGCTAGTGTTAGAGGTCTTTTTGGCTTTTGTTTATTGTATAATAAATAAAAAGAAAACAAATAGATAGAATACAAAAAGAATAGAGGAGCTAGTGTTAGTTTTTTTCTTTTTTAAAGAAACCATCAGTTAGTAAACGAATAGAGTGCAAGTCTAAAAGGGGCAAGTTTTTTTTTAAATGATTATATATAAATCGTCAGTTTGTTGTTTTGTACACATGCACACAGACATTATTTCATACACGACATAATCGTGAGATGCAAGAAACATAGACATATGGCAAGAAATCTGTAGACGCGCCCATAACAACAAAATACAAGTCTGTGAAAGTGTTATGACCTCTTTTTTGCAACTACATTTCAATATCGTGATAATACCGTATACCGTGATAAAAGCATTAGCAATTAATCGCAACGTGAAAAGTTGATATCGTTATATGCCTAGTCAGGACACCGGTCACCTGACTCAAAGCTTCGAGTTAACCCTCCAGAGTCTGCAGTCTGTGATTCTGAGAACAGCGTGACAACAAGCCCCAGATATACGATCCACTGAAAGCACTCGGTGACATCACCCGCTCCGGCATTCCCGCATTCCCCGGACCGTAACGGACACTGGGACGCATTTGTTGACATCAGCACTCAGAATAGGCCCCTGGATTAGGCCCCGGCTCTGGGGAAGCTGGGATGCTTCACTCTTCACCACGCTTTTCTGATCGGCAGATGATTTGCTTTCCAGGGTTTCGCAGCTGCAGATCTCCGGAGGATTATTATTCCGAGCGCTATCCAATAACAAAACGAAAATCCCTGGACACGTCCCTCTGTCCCTGCAGGACAGACTCCGGACACAGGAGGCTTGAAGCGGAGGACAACTCAAAATGCATTAGTGGCTCTCTGAGAAACGATAGTGTTTCAAGATCTCGTCTCGTGTTTTAAAAAGCAAAAGCATCCTGTAGGTTAGCCAGAGGGTGCATTCCTTTCGGTTGTAATGAGCGGAGACACATAATCCACATCTACCGCAGCAGCAGCTCGTTCTTCAGCGGTGGCATCATCTTCATCCACCGAGCGTTATTGATGTGCACTTATGCAACCCATCTAAAAGTAGATGTTTACAATCAGAGCATTTCAATTATGCACCTACTTTAAAAAGCCTAAGCTGCTTCAGCATTAGTAATGTGGCCTTATTATTCACGTCCTGTGTGCTTTTCTTTTGCATTTTCTTGTTTTTCAGAGACTAGACTATAATCATGAATCTCATGGAAAAATATACAAAAATTTCACCACCAAAAAAATAAATGAAATGTTAAAAACTTATAAGAAAAACAATAAATAATAAAATCATATATATAAGAAAAAATATAAGGAAATAAATATATAAATTATTTTTTTTTTAAAAACAATCCTGTATATAATTACTGTAATGATTCTTTATTTTAACTGCAAAGTATTGACACGTCATTGAAGTTCTTATTGTACTTTAATTAAATTGCTGATTTAGATAATTTATCATCACTAATTATTTATATTTATTTAAATAATATTTATGTGCCATAAACAGTGTGGCCAAAATAAAACTGAAACAAAAATTTATATATATATAAAAAAAAAAAGTCAGGATACATTACAGTAAAGACGATTTGGAAAGAAAATGTGCTTAATTGTCATGAAAATATCTTTAATGTTTAATATATATATATATATATATTTTTTTTTTCTTAATTCAGATAATGATGACAAGTAAAACAAGTACTAATATGATATATTAATAGGTCAAAACTAATATTAAAAAAATCATATATAAATCAAAAATCAAAATATAAATCAAAAATAATTTGTATCTTTTTTTTTCTTTCTTATCAAATCACACTAAATATTGAACCAACAGAACACAAATCTTCTCTCAAACACAATGAGATCCTGAAGAGCTCGAGCTTTAATAACAAACTAAGTATCTAAAGATTTTTTTCAAATAAATATTTATCGAGCGCAGTGACTCGTGGGGAAGTCGAGGAGCAACACACGGGAAATTCAACGGAAAGGAATGTGTTGTGATAGCGTGACGTCGCGTGTTTACACGCAAGAGCGTCACGCAAACATGTGATCTGACACACCGATACGTACATCTACTGTCATTCAGCTCTGAGCAAAAAAATAATAAATATCCAACTCGATTTACTAAAGCTTGACCGAATGTAAAACACATTTTTGCTTTTTAACCCACAATACCAAAAAAAGACAGAAAAGAGTGAGTTTGTACGAGAAACAGGCCACACATCAGGTTTATTTATAATCTAAAAGACAAAAATACAAAAGAAAAACCAGTCGAAGTATTAAATCAGACAATAATGAATCATCTGTATGAGCTGTAAATGACATTTAGCAAACACTAATTTCTGCTCAGATTCAGACTTGGAACGGTGCGTTTTCACGAGTTTTGGAAAGTGTGTTGGAGAACCCCGACAGAAGTTTCATTCCTCTGAACTCCACAAACTCAGAGTCCGAGTGGAAGAGGAAATCTCCTCAGATCTTGCGTTTCTTCCATTCGGGCTGATCTTCATCGACCTCTTCTTCCTCCTCCTCGGCGAACAGCGGCTCCGGCTGCGTTCTGTCAGAGAAAAACACGTCGTGAGACACGTTCAGATCTCACACACTGCGCTCAATCAACACAAAACATGATCTGCGGCTCTCTGACAGAGAGGATGATGGGAGATTAATCCAGTTCCCTACTTTCAGTCAGATCACTGATTAAAATACAACATCTGCTGTGAGTCACAGAGGAACACAGACACACACACACACACACACACACACACTCACACTCACACTCTCACACTCAGACACTCACACTCAGACACTCACACACACTCACACTCAGACACACTCTCTCACACTCAGACACTCACACACACTCACACACACTCTCACACTCAGACACTCACACACTCACACACACTCTCTCACACTCAGACACTCACACACTCTCTCACACATACTCAGACACACACACACACACACACACTCTCACACTCAGACACTCACACACTCACACACACTCTCTCACACTCAGACACTCACACACTCTCTCACACACACTCAGACACAGACACTCACACACACTCTCTCACACTCACACTCAGACACACACACACACTCTCACTCAGACACTCACACACTCTCTCACACTCGACACTCACACACACTCTCTCACACCCACACTCACACACACACTCTAGTTTCTAGCTAGTTCATGCATTCATGACCTCTAGACTGGACTATTGTAATGCACTGCTAGGTGGTTGTCCTGCATCTTCAATAAACAAGCTACAGATAGTCCAAAATGCAGCGGCTAGAGTCCTTACCAGGTCAAGAAAATATGATCATATTACCCCAATTTTACAGTCTCTGCACTGGCTACCTGTTAAGTTCCGTATCAGTTACAAAATATTATTACGTGCCTATAAGGCCCTTAATGGGTTAGCTCCTGCATCCCTAACTAGTCTTCTACCACGCTACAATCCATCACGCTCCCTAAGGTCACAAAATTCTGGACTTTTGGTAGTACCTAGGATAGCAAAGTCCACTAAAGGAGGTAGAGCTTTTTCACATTTGGCTCCCAAACTCTGGAATAGCCTTCCTGATAACGTTCGGGGTTCAGACACACTCTCTCTGTTTAAATCTAGATTAAAGACACATCTCTTTGGCCAAGCATTCAAATAATGCATCTCATAATCTTTTACTGCAGTCATAATCTTTTACTGCAGTTATATCTAATCAAATGCACATTATTATTCATTAGTTTGGGTTAAACAAATCATTTTTGCTTGGTTGGAACAGCAGCTACGCTAATTATGTTTGTATTTGTTTCTCTGTCTTTTGCCACGGGATTAACATCCCGTGGTAACTAGGATTCACACAAGCTTCAGTCTGGATCCAGAACACCTGAGAAGAGATGATGCAACCCCTCAGAGGACCTCAGATGATGCCAACCCTGAAACAACATACAGAACTACCACATTTTGCTACAAGTTTGATTGCATCATATAATAATTGCTGTTAATATTATTCATCGTCTGTTTTATTACGTCTTATATTGATTTTTCCGTTCTGCTGGTTCGTCTGGTCAGAGGAGAACTGGCCCCCCGACTGAGCCTGGTTTCTCCCAAGGTTTTTTCTCCATTCTGTCACCGATGGAGTTTTGGTTCCTTGCCGCTGTCGCCTCTGGCTTGCTTAGTTGGGGACACTTCATTTCCAGCGATATCGTTGACATGATTGCAAAGATATTATTTAAACTGAGCTGGATGTTGACATCACTGAATTCAATGATGAACTGTCTTTAACTGAAAAATGAGTGTTTACTATTGTCATTTTGCATTATTGACACTATTTTCCTAATTAATACTGTTCAGTTGCTTTGTCACAATCTGTATTGTTAAAAGCGCTACATAAATAAA